AATTTTACACACTTTATATGCAACTATATTAGTCGAAGAAAACAAGATAATTTTCTGTAGACAGAATACCATTCTAACAATTTGATTTTGTGTTATACCATTTATGTTCATTCACACGTATAATGAAGAACTAATAATCATAACATGCTAATAAATAAAGTAGTGCTATTCAAAATTACATATGATATCAAAACGGACATGTTGTCTTGAACGGGACTATGTCACAAAATATGACCGATGAAATGTCAATGATTTCATAATTGAGACAACACACATCAATCAAAATTAATGGGATAAGAGTGACAAATGAGACATAGTGGTAATATAGTCACAAAATATGGTCTTCATATGGCCACTTATACGAGACTTACATATATATCAGCATCGAAAGAGAGTCACAACAACCGGGGTTCAAAGGATTTGGATGATTAGTTGTTACAATGTCACTGAACACCTGAACAGAAGCTGTGGCACTAAACATGTGAGTGAGATTATTATTAATTAACATTAATAAAAATGACAGCAAAAGATTGTTAATGTTTGGTTGAAGCAAAGGAAGAAGGAAAATAGAAATAGAGATAGGAGACATCTATGCTCTCTGTCACATAGTACTTGCTGAAATTCCATGCACGTACGGCTGCTCTATGTTGCTTATGCCACTATCTGCCAATGCAGAGTGACATGGATACGATGGTGTGAAATTGAAAAGCTTTTGTTGTTTTTGTTGTTTCTTGGACCACGTGATCACATTGCTTCTGTGTTCTGCCTAGCTTGGATCCCCATAAAGATCTCCAATATCTTACACAGTACCCCCACAACCTTCTCTCTTGTTCTTTTTAACATACACCGTCTTTCTCTCTTTCACATTCATGCACGCCAAACTGCTGGCAAATACATGTAACCATAGACAGTTTTATTATTCCTTTAATGCTTATTTATTATGGCTTTAAAATACAATATTAATCTCTCATTTTATTTTATTTTAGTTTGAGTTTGGTCATTTAAGTTTAAATAATTTCATTTTATTTTTTTTAGTACTTTTATTAACTAAATTAGTCTTTTTATTGATATTTTATCGGATAATATAATTTTTACTGATGTAACATTATTATGTATCATTAAATTAATCAAATTAGTGTAATAAATTAATAGTATAATCAACTTGATAAAATAAAGATATTTTAAGAGATTAAAGTATAATTTTTGAAATTGGTGAAATCAAATTAAAATTAGAAATATAAATAAGAGACTAAAGTTCATTTTAGCTCATGTTATTAGTGTAAAATTTTGTAAGTAGATCAACAAGCAACAAATAAAAAGTCACCGTGAATAAAATTTTAAGAAAATTATCATAAAAGTTAATGAATGAATGCATGTATGATAATTTATCATTAGAAGACGGTATAAAATTATTTTTCATTGTCTGTGCATTGTCTTTTGTTTTTTTTTTCTCCTTTTTCTTTTAAATGCATATAAACAAAATAACATTTTATTATAAAATATTGTCTAATGTAAGATAGAGAATAAATTTTTAAATTATTTCTTGAGAAAATACATTAATGTTGAAAATTATAGAAAAAAATTAAATATATTTTTAAGCCCTTTAAGATAAGTGAATTTTGATTTTGACTCTTACAAAAAATTTTCTTTCTAAAATTTGTAAGCATTATTTTTTATTCTTGTAAAATGAGAAAAAATTAATTTTAATCCCTCTAAAATATTTTATTATTTTTATCCCTTTAAAACCTAAAATTGCTATTTTTAAGATTTATTAATAATATTTATTTTAAGGTTCTATAAATTTCTTTTAGAGATATCATACACTAATAATATATCAGACAATTATGAATACTAATTAGGATAATCACTTAAAATTTCTAATAAATAAATTAATAGTTTAAAAGGATCACATGGTGTGTATTTGTATAATTGTTGAACCGAGTCCATCAATACATTTGCTTCTGTGTTTATGCGGGAGCTTGTGAAACTTCCGTTTTAAGGGTTTCAAATAGTTACCCAAACACACAGATAGCAATATGGGCTAAAAACAGTTTCAAATTTTACAAGAATGAAAAAAAAAAATTAAGAACCAAAATTAAAACTGACGCATTTTTCATGTACTAAAAAAGATATTTAATGTAATACAAAATTCTAATTTATTTTTAAAAATTACAAATATGAGTTATATTAGTCTTTTTAAGGAATTATTGTGTCTAATACAGAAAATATAACATGACTAATATTTATGATTTTCACAGTATATATTAATATTTCTAACCTTAAAGTTTTCAAACAGGAATTTGGAGTTTTCCGCTAAAGTATAAGTATGATTATGGCTTTACTAGTGCCATTATAGGGATTGATCGGAATATTGGCCTGCATGTGTAGTGTCTTGCATATGATAATACACTAGAAAAAGGTGAAGAATATTCAATCTCAGTCGCTGATGGTGGCAACATATTATATCTCTATTCTATTCCCATGTTGAATTTGAATTTTACCAAACATTTCCGAGACACGTAGGTGGACCTACACAACGGGGTTATGAATTTTTGCTATGGTATATAGATTGATGAGAACAACAAAATTTAATTTACAAAGAGAAACTCTTTTCCTCTTTTGGTGGTGCCATTTTTTTTTTCATTCTTCTTTTGAAGAGATAAGAAGATACTCGTTTCGTTAGGTAGAAGACCTAACTATCGCTGTTTGAACATGTGGCAAGGTTGCATAATTGTTCCCAAGTCCTGGATTTGAGGATCTCAAACATAAATTACATACAACACCTTTCATTTTCCATTGGCTCCATCAGTTTCGGTTAATGATTAATGAGCCCTAGAAATTTAAGAAGTCTTTATATATATATATATAATTTTATTTTTCTTTTTTGCATTTATTAGTCATGCATATGAACTTAAAACATGTATCGTCAAAGATTACAATCTTCAATTTGAAGCATTAGTAGAATATATGTTCTACAGAACCATGCTTGGTGGAAGTTCTTGGTGTATGATAGCTCCTTCTACCTGCGAGATCTATAGGTCAAAGATTGTTCTTTGAATGCCCTTTGTTGTTACACTCTAATTTATTTTTCCTCCCAATCAAAGTCCTTGTCTAAGACCTAAGATCATAACTAATTGCATTTGGCTATTTTGGCTTAATTTAGCCAGAACCCCACTAAAAGAACAATTTGGTACATGTATTTTATATAGTTCAAATTATTCTGACATATATGTATATATCACCAACTAGAAGAACCCCTGAAAAGCTAGCCAATTAAATTATTATTAACTAGTTCACTGGATTCTCTTGCGTGTGCATAGCATGCCATTGTTTTCTTCCTATATTCTTATAGAAGGCATGCCAGGTGCTTTTCATTTTTATATGTTCACTCACCACGTAAGGCTTGGCAACTGGGAAATTAATTAGCTAGGTGTGGTTCAATCAGTAGCCATTGCTAATTAATTAATTATTATTAATTTAATAACGGCATGGTATCTATCATCTTTATTATTATTATTTTTTTTGGCTCGGAACTTGTTGAAGAAAAATATAATCATGTCATATATATGTAGACATTCAAATTCTGAAGCAGGCACATTGTTGTGTTATGGTTAGATTTCCCTTTCATTTATTACATATATGTTGGGAATAGATGAGGCTCTCTAAACAAAATCTTGGCCCGAAGAAAATCCGGTGTGATGTCTCACTCAGTTCCCATTGACACTACCCTTCATGAATTAGAAAAGTTCAATGCAATATAGTTTGATCCAAGAGAAGTCCTCTGGTCCCAGAAAGAAAATCTTGAGAGATCCTATTGATAATTACAAGATTTTGACTCTACCCCTTTATTCATAAAACCTTCAATTGGTTATATAAAATATAAATGGTATGTGAATTGACTAAACTTGACCAATCTTTGACCCTGAGATAAGAATCAAACGGTGTCAGTTCAATTGCAACTATTTATTTATTTTTTTACTACGCCATACAGTGGAAGAAGCTTGTGGGGTTTCTCAACAATTGCTGGGAATCTTTGTGATTACGTCTATGACACAAACACGATCACCCAAAACGAGTAGCGATTGGAAGGCCTAACACTTCATTAATTGCTTTATTAAATATTTTTATTTTTATTTCTTAGCTGCTCAATTTAATTGCTTTACACAAACACTTCATGACGTTTCAGAAGGAGGGCCAAATATGATCTCTACATTGGTTCCATCGTATCTTTGAATTTAACATTTAGCATCCCTCCCTTTACACAATGTACAATTTGATTTTTAATGATTTATCACTCACACTTTCATATCTTGTCTTCGAACTGCGTTCTATACCCAACCAGGTGAAAAATTAATAAAGAAAGGGAATTAAACATATTTTAAAAATGCTTCTCTCTCCCCTTTTCCAAATCATCATAAAGAAATAGGTGTAAGTGTAATTTAAAAATAAGAATGTAAAAATACTGGTTATTATTTATTTTCCTTTTTATTTTCTCGTCAAACATAAATATAATCACTTTAATTCTATTTAAAAAATCAATCCTAATTTTCTTGCAGCTCAATTATTGTATTTAATTATCTATGTCTGTTTCTATTTTTATCACTCATAATATATATTATTTATCTGTCTAAATTAACCTACTTACTTTTTCTTATTTTTCTTTAATTCCTTACGTATCATATCATACCTATTAACTTAAAATAGTATGAGATTATCATTATTTTAATTATTTATTTTTATATAAAAGTGATAATAAAGTTTAAACTTAAATAATGTATAAACTATCCAATTTTTTCCACTATTTTGCCAAAGCTAATAAATTAAATAATCATTTTGATTTAAAAACCCTATAAAATAAACAATTACAAGAAAACCTTTATTAATTATACCCCGATTATAATTATTAATTAAGTCTCCCTTTTCTCTCTCTGTCTCTCTACATGTGTTTCTCATATACTTTTCATACCCTCCTTTATCATGCAGAGTCCCCGTCCATTCTATATATAGCCCCTACCCCTTCCACCTCCTTTCCCCACTACAACACACACACCAACAGCCACAACAACCAATCCACCCTAAAATAACAAACCACCCTCTCTTTTCTCATTCTCCCCAAACCAAAATGGCAGCTGAAAACCACCCTTCCCCAACATACTTCATTCTCCTACTCATAACCATCACACGTTTGATCTCCACAGTGGGCAAAACCTCCCAATGGAAGACCATGCTACCTCCGGAACTCGTCTCTGCTGAGGACAACAACAACAACAACAACAACGTCTTCCAAAAGCTCCGGGACGACCCGGAGGCTCTTGAAAGAGTCTCCAGAGATTATGGCAACCTTGTCCACGATGTCCCCGTGGCGGTGCTTCAGCCCGCCACGGGACAGGACATCGCGAGGTTGATAAAGGCCTCATACAACAGCTCCGTCCCTTTTCGCATAGCGGCGAGGGGCCAAGGCCACTCGACGCGCGGTCAGGCGATGGTAAGGGACGGAGTGGTGGTTGACATGGCGGCGTTCAGAGAGAGGGGGAATGGGGTGGGGATAAAGGTGAGTGTGGACCCTTTGGTTGGTGATTACTATGCTGATGTTGGAGGGGAACAGTTGTGGTTCGATGTGCTTCACTCCACGCTCCTCCATGGACTTGCACCTCGTTCTTGGACTGATTACTTGTACTTGACGGTGGGAGGGACTCTCTCCAATGCTGGCATCAGTGGCCAAACATTCCGCTATGGTCCTCAAATCACCAGTGTTCGTGAAATGGATGTCATCACTGGTATGAATTGATTCCAAACCAATACTCTTTTGTTTGTACCAATATTCGAATCTCAGATCTTCTACATGGTATTCTGGATTCTCACTGCTAGGTTTTTCTTCTCACCCTAACATGATAATAATAATAATAAACTATTTTAATTTAACACACGTTAATTGATTTCACGGTGCCTTTGAAAATTTGAGCGTTTTTGTACTATATACAACAACTTCTGTATCAAAAGTGGTTCATCTATTTGCTTAGTATCGAAACTCTTGGATTTACATGGATATTATAACAACCCTTTTAATTTAACTACTCAAGGTTTTAATATTGTGAAAATTTGTCATTGGACACCTTGGAAAGTGTCACAGCTTGGAAAGGGAGGAAGGAAAGAGAATGAAGTAAAATAAAGTAATTGTTATAATTAGTTGCTTGAAAAATTTGAGATTGTTTATTAAATTATGGTTCGCGATTCTAATTGTGGCAACCAGCAATGTCGTGGTTATGAGTGTTTTCAGAACCCAATTGCAGCTTCAGTTATAGTGGCGTTTGTTCATGTTGTTTTTATAATTTGATTAATGTGATGCATCAGATTGTGATTGCGATTGAAATATATAAAATCTTGTTATTCAATTTTGTTCTATTGATTAGGACAAGGAATTTCGCAAACTTGATTTTATTTTATATTTTTTTCATGTAATACCGAATTAGTGGTTGATAACCGAGTCTTTGTTGACAATTTTGGTGAGAGTTAGCAAGCGTTTTCCACCGGTCCCATGTTTGAAAAATTCTTAACCATGGAATCAGTTCACACAGACAGTCATGGCCCCTTAGTCCTGATTAATTGTTTTTTTCTAAGAACTTGTTGATATATTATTGCTCCAAGTCTTATTTTGGTCAATTTTTTTATTGTAATAAACAGACCGCTGAATTGATTTACTCAAACTGTTTTTTTAATAAAGAATGTGTGCATGCATGCAATTATATATTTTATTGTTTTATGTTTAATAATAAAGTTTTTTATCCCTTCAAAAAAAAAATAAAGTTTTTTATTGGTTCAGGAAAGGGCGAATTTGTGACCTGCTCTTCGCAGACAAATTCGGAGTTATTTCACGCGGTTCTTGGAGGCTTAGGACAATTTGGAATTATAACAAGGGCCAGAATCGCTCTTGCGCCAGCTCCAAAGAGGGTATGTTTAAATCTCTAGAATTGACTAGGACTTTGTCTTGTTGCTTCTTCCTCCAACATCTCATATAGTAACGCCAATTCTATGTGTTACATTATTCAACCATCAAGCTTTACGGAAGCATCAATTGTCCTTGTCCTATAAATTTTATGTCGCCATTCTTCTTGCATACACATACACACATAAGTTTCACATTATGTTTGTGCATGTGAGTCATCATTGAAAGACACATGCGCAAATGAAAACGAGACATGATAAACTTAATTAAAGGTGAATAACGTGGATTCTTGAAATTAAAAGGGCATTAAAATGTATGTGTTGGAAAAATATATATTATATATGCATAAATCTTTTGAAATAGAAAGGCTCGTGTTATCCTTTCTCGTCGAGGTCCACAATTAATCTATGTAATTTGTTTATCAAACTCAAATAACAAACGCTATTTGAAAATACTACCAAGCATGGTCTATGTATGCATAAATATGTTTCCACTAGAAAGGATAAATAAAGTTGGTGAGATCGATCCATCATTCATTTGATGCTTAGGCAAGGGTTGAGCACGAAGTACTATAGTACCTTATTTAACTTTTTCATTGTATTTGATGGGACTAGTTGCATAAACCATCACCATGTGTTCATTATGGTTTTTCATTAGTACGATAACGAGTTAATCAGTTCAATGTATAAACTAATGGCGAAATTTTATTGGCAGGTTAAATGGGTGAGACTTTTGTACAATGACTTTTCTGCTTTCACCAAGGACCAGGAACAATTAATCTCAATTTCTGGAAGGAAACAAAATATTGCACTGGATTATTTAGAAGGATTGCTGCTAATGCACCAAGGACCCATAAATAATTGGAGATCTTCTTTCTTCCCTTTAGCCGACCATGCTCGAATAATTTCGCTTGTAACCAAACACAGCGTCCTCTATTGCCTAGAAGTTGCCAAATATTATGATGCCCAAAATGAAAACAATGTAGACAAGGTACCATCTCTATTCATGTGCAATTGCCCTCATGATGTGTCTTTTTTTTTCTTTTCTTTTTTCCCATTTTTTTGGGTATCACCTTAAATAACAACCATTTTAAATTTATTAGTTCAAGTAATCTTGTAATCAATATTGTAATTTGTAAGTAATGTTGTTATTTTCATGTTTGTGTAGGACCTCCAAGTTTTACTCCAAGGACTGAGCTATATCCCTGGATTTTATTATGAGAAAGATGTGTCATATGTTGAGTTCTTGAATAGAGTCCGAAGTGGAGAGTTGAAGCTACAGTCACAAGGACTGTGGGATGTTCCTCATCCATGGCTTAATTTGTTTATACCCAAATCTCAAATCATGGATTTTGACTCGGCCATATTCAAGAATATCATCCTTAAAAGAAACATCACCACGGGACCTGTCTTGGTTTACCCCATGAACAGAAACAAGTAATTAAGCTGAACTACTCACAATTTGTGTAATTATTATTAGGAAAATGTTAATTAATTGGTACGAAAACTATTTTCATTAAATTCAGGAAAGTGAAACTCCTCTTTCCTAAAATAACTTCTTTCTCATCAAATGATTTTTCTCAATCTTTTACTTATTCCCTTTTTTGAATTTTTTGTCACTCATGCCATTTTTCACAGAAAAGTTATTGGTACCAATTTAATAGCATTGTCGTTATTATCATATGCACACATTTCTTTTCTTTACCCTACTACTTCTCACTCACTAACTTTTTTCCATACAAATTGTAAAATTTTCAGGTGGGACAATAGGATGTCAGCATCAATACCAGACGAGGAAATCTTCTACACAGTTGGATTTTTGCATTCAAGCGGGTTTGATGATTGGAAGGCCTATGATGCTCAAAATAAAGAAATCTTGCAATTTTGTAATGACGCTGGGATCAAGGTTAAGCAATATCTTCCCCACTATCGCACACAAGAAGATTGGACAAACCATTTTGGCCCTAAATGGAGAACCTTTGTAGAAAGAAAACACCAGTTTGATCCAAGAATGATTCTATCACCTGGACAAAGAATCTTTAACAATTAAACTAGTTTTTTTTTTTTTTTTTATAAATATTTTTCCCCAAATAAAAAAGATGTTATATATATATGGTGGGACTACCCAAGTTAGCTAGCTGGCTGAGCGCAAGTGTACACATAGGACCCAGAGTTGAGGTGATAGCCTTTGTACTTGTTTTTGTTAAGAGGGTGGGGTTAAAAGCTGCATGACTTTGGCATATATGTAGATCAGGTTACACATTCTATAGATACGTTAGGTTGACAAAATCATGTGTGAAAGATGCACACAGCTAGCTGTACCTCTCTTTCTCTCTCTCTTTCTCTCTCCCTCAGTTTGTCCATCACTAAAAAGATTACTAGTTTAGATTTTAGAACCTAGTGAAGAGAAAGAAAAAAAAACGATTATAATGAGGATATATATATGTTTATCACGTTCTAATCCTACATTAGTTCTTAATGTGCAATGAGTGTGTTTGGTGCGTTAATGATTCTTTATCTTTGTTAATTCCTATTATATAATCTTGTTTTGCCTTCCTAATTTTGTACAGGGGCACCCTAGAAATAATTGAGATCCTAGGTTAAGAAGGAACAGCATTATTGTGTCTAAATTGAGAGTCCTAGCTGTATGCCATGATAATAAAACATTGTAGGTTACTAGATAGATGTGATAACGCCAAATGCCTTCAAATACTATAATCTCAATTGCAAGATCCTTCTTCCTAATTATATAAGAAAAGATTACGCTGCTTTACAAGAGAATACAGGAAAGCAAGTGTTTCCTTAATATAAAGAATCATGCAATAAACAAATGGCATTGTAGAGTGCATTTTATATTTAATGAAAGATTAGTGTAGACATCAAACTCATAAATTTGATACAATTCGAATTCGTAGATATAATTACTCTTTTTCAATCATATATATATATATATATATATATATAATTATTGGAAAAGGTGAAAACTCGCTGTGCAGATTTTTATATCTCCAAGGGATTAATCTTTAATTTAATTTTCCATTGGAAATTCATGAAATTAAGAAAAGAGTTTAGACATGAACAATTACGGTAACCAAGGAATATATGCATATATACTGCAAGTATGCAACCTACGTCACTCAATTTTGCGGAGGATTTCGGAATACTATAGTGTATCACTGAAAGGACACACAAGTGGCAGTGATGAATATTTTAATTTAAAGTTTTAATTAGATTCTAAAATTTTCCCTTCTTTTTCCGGCAAAAGTAAAATAATTAGGGATGAGCAACGGGTGAGTTTGGTCGGGTTCGGGTAAAAAATGTTCAACCCATTATAAACTGATTTTGAAAAAATGTAACCCATATCCGACCGACTGAACTTTAGATTTGAGGTGGTTCGGGTTGAAACGGATTTGGATTTGAGTGGGTGGGTACAATCGGGTTTGAATTTTTTTGTAGACCAATTTATCTTAATGAAGATGAAGCTTAAAACGATAAAAAATATTTTTAAAATAGTGTATAAAAATAGAATAAAGGTGACAATAGATGGTGTAAGTAGATTCGTAGATGAAATATATACAAACTAAAGAAGCAAAAATAAAAGATAACAAAATTCATAGTTGTTACATGCAAAAGAAATCTAAAGTTAGATTACAAAATCCATAAGAAATCACAGTCGCACAAGTTGTACTCAAAATGGAGATAAGAAGATGGAAAAGAAAAACAAAGAAAGAAGCAAAAAGATAACTCTAAAAATGGACTAATGTGTTAAGAAGTTGAATGAGGAAGGAAAAGACAAAAATAAATATCTAAGTTATGAGAAAAAGGAAAAAATATAAATTACAAATTGATGGCTATATTATACTTGAAATAATGACTTTTAAGTTTGGACCATTGTTGTTTAGTTATACAAAAGTAATAAAAATTTAAACTTATCTCATTTTCGGTTGGGTTTAGTTTTTAGCGGGTTTAAAAATTCAAAATTGAACTCGCCCAATATAACCCGTATAAAATCAAAATTTTAACCTGATTTACCCATAAGACCCGCCCGAACCCACCCAAAAGCAATATTTTTTATCTGGTTTTTCGGGTTCGGTTCGGGTCTCGGTTTAATGCTCACCCCTAAAAAAAATAATCGAATAATCAAGTCAATTACAACTAGACAACAAGAATACAGGTAAATAAATAAATGCGTGGCTTCGTTTCACCTTAGAAACGAAGGAATGCAATAACGAAGACAATAATTATAATATGAAATTAATAGAATATCTAAATGTTTGTAGATATTTATGAGTTAATCACCTATACACTGCTAGTGTAAAGTTTTTTTTACACTGGCAACCAATTATATTTCTTAATTGTGTCATGTCACTGTTAAAAGTAAATGTGTCTATAGTGACATGGCACAATTAAGAGATATAATTAGTTACCAGTGTAAAAAGACTTTACACTGACAGTTTATAAGTAATTAACTCTATTTATATATCATGAAAAATGTTTTTCCATTCAACCTAAGTATCTTTTGTTGAAGAATTCTAACGTTTTTAGGTTGAAAATATAGGAATTAGGACAAGAGGTTAAAAAAAAAAAGAGAAGAATGTTTTATAAAACGATCCAATCTATGTAAACTAAAATCCTAGTGGACTATACCAATCAAAGAAATGAAAACCATATACATTGTAGAGTGGTGATCTGAATCAAACTAAGAAAACGATATTTGAACAGCTAGTCCACAGAAACATCAGTGCCTTATAGAAAAACATCAAAAGGTAAAGAATAAGAAGAATATGACTCAATTATATAGGAGAAAATAAAAATTAGAAATTTTAAAATGAAGCTTCTTTCATTAAACTAAGATCAACATGTGTGTTTTTCACTTTTTCATCAAATGAGTATGTTTGGAAAAGTTTATTCAAATAAAAACCATTTCTATAACTACTCTGGTAGCATGGTAGACAAGCAACTCAACCAAAACGATATATTGCAAATAGTAACAACTAACAACGTGGATTTTGGCTAACCATGGCTAAATACACACACACACACA